AGCGCTAAGAATCTACATTTTCCCCGAGTTGAGGCTAACCCTGCTCATACCTTAGGTCTTTATATGGGAATACAGGGATAATCTCAACTCGGGGAAAATGCAAATTTTCAAGTCTATTGTAATAACGACATTTTCTCGTGCTCTCTTTTGTGTTTGTAAGGTCTTTGCGCAAGAGAATCTGTTGTCAAATAAAGCAGCGGTTATTCGCTATGAATTCGAAACTGGAGTATTTAGCTTCTATCAGATATACTGACGCTGTCACCCTACCTGAAGTTACGCCCGCAAAACTGCGTGCATCAAATCCCCACAGTGATACAGTTAATCTGCAGCCTTTCAAGAAGAAGATGCTAAAATGGTTTTGGACAATTTTGCGATTGAAGAGAACGTTTACAAAGCCAGTGACCCTTATAAATTCGGTCCACGCAAGCGCAATAACATTCATGCATTTATGCGCTACGCTTCTGTGGTCATGACGAGCGTCTGCCAGCATGCATTGCCATGTACATTATACCACTTAATTCAAATCGTGTGGAAAAAAGGACTTTTGTTTCTAAGAATTCATCTGTGAAATGATAATACAACGAACAATGAAACTTACTCCCGGGCAGTTTGAATTGGGAGCTGAATTGGATGGCAACGAGTTAGCCGATTAAGTCTATTGTCTATCTTTTGTAGAGTATGCAAATCTCGAAATTACAAAACTCAAATATTTTATTTTGTATAACGTCTCTATYAACTATCTGTAAGACAGACAACACCACATAACGATCACTTCTTATTAATAAGTTCCGATTAGAATCGGAAAACCTCTATATATCGGACACTTCAATCGTTAACGGCACATTAYAGACATTACGAAATAGACGACACCACCTCAAAACGGACACCTCATGTTTTACGGACAACTTGGCCGTTTAAGGGGAAATCCAATTCATAGCTTTCATAGTAAATTCATATCCAACAAACAGGGCTGCATGTACCACTACGGCTCTTGTTACAGCAGGGACAWATCCACGATAGAGCGCTTTAAGCCCCTCATTTTTAATGACCTCTCTAATAATGTCCTTAGTCCCGCGAGGGTACCGCTCTATTGGTGCCACCTGCATCCTTGTCTTGATAGCGTCCACTGGAAATGTAAGACCCCAGAATACCATGCCAGAGGTGCCTCCCGCAAGAACGACAGTGATTGGTCCAACTTCATCACGTGTTCTGCCATCTGATCTTGATAATTTTAAAAGCCCTTCATAGGCTAGGTACCATGCACCACTTCCTGGGATCTCTCGACCAAAGGTAGGTCCTAGACCTCTGTACACCCCTCGTAGGCCACTTTCCTTCATAACCTTGATAAAACAGTCTACCGTTCCTGTATACTTAGGGGTCCCCCCTGTGGCTTTTTGTACCTGTAGGAGACATTTTAGTCTTTCYGCGGGAGCAAATATGAGAGCAGAAAAGACGCCACAAAATAGTCCAGCATTGAAATATTGTAGTAGTGTGGGTTCTTGATCTGGATGCTGAAGCTGTAGGCTTTTCCCTAGGGATAGGGTGTAGAAACTAACTGCACAAGCGGGCGCGGCCATCAAAACGGGTACAAACATACCCCTATAGAGCCCTGTAAAYCCCTCTGTCTTGATGACTTTGATAAGGCAGTCTATCGGGCCTTTATATAAAGGGTTTTGCTTGGGTTGTACTTGTAGTCGTACCTTGACCATGTCTAAGGGTTGTCCAGCAATCCAGCCCGTCATTCCACCGATGGAACCAGCAATCAGATTTCTTGTTGGTGAGAGACGCCGTTCGTTGATGTGGCCTGTTTCAGCGTCAATCGACGTTGCATCGGCCATTGGACTGTAGCGTTTCAACAGTCTGAAACGAAAAAATTAATTGTCAGCAAAATAATCTCTCGTCAATGATCAGTGACGTAACATATTATCATACATCAAGACAGACAGATAGTATTCATATGGTGTAGCATCGGCTCCCGCATCCAGGCTACGTCCTCTTCAACCCCTTCCCATTCGTCCCTATGCCCCCGGTCCTGAGGGCCCTCATAGATATCAGACACTAGTGCAGTCCTGGTCACTTTCGACCCGCTCCAGGACTCGCGGGGAAAGAGAGTACTCTCTTTCCCCGCGAGTGCTGTCTCTTTCCTCGCGAGTCCTGGAGAAGGTCGAAAGAAGGCTAGGACTGGACTAATCAGACACATTATTGGCAATAAATGATAATAATACGTGTATATTATAAACACAATGGGATTTAAAGACTATTTCAAGGTGATTTTGACTTCAGACCGSTGGAGGTTTTGCTCAGTACGTGATTGGCTTTGTCTACTTTGTGGCGAATGAAAGAAGCACTCAAGATCACACTGTATCAAATATAATACGTGGCATTAACTCGTTTACCTCTCAAATTTCCAAGGATTGCAGTTCTTCTGCTAGGGAGCAAATTCCTATTTTCGGATAACAAATATAATCTTCCCAACTCAAGTGAACCATTTGGCAGACGGGTTCCGCAAACTGGTTTACACGTAAATTGATAACATTGCGGGCTTTGTGCGTGACATTTTCATGTCATGACATGAGATGTCACATGAGATATGAGACATTGTCACGCAAATCMCGCAATGCTATCAATTACTGCGTTACACGTTTGCACGTTTGCCACAGTTTGCCGGCGCGAATTGATTCAAAAGCTTTGGAATATCAAAGAACACAGTTTGTAAGAGTTAAAACACGCGAAAGGGAAAGGAATTTGGTTCTCAGTATCGTTCAACTTCTTTTTGGCTAAGAAGATAGACATTTTTGGAGACAAATTCTTTGTAAGTATGAAGACGCTCTTTAGAAATTATTTTACATGAATAATGACTTTAATAAATAAAACTTTTTGTTTATTTATTTGAATATTCGAGCCTTTGAATCAATACACAAATATCCAAATCTTTCTTGTTGACACCTTAGAACTCCTGTTCTCGTTGTTTCCTGACCCGTGCTCGGCGAGCCGCATGACAAGGCATTAAGCTGACCTCTGCAGGTAAAAGCATCAATAACTATCTATGTACTAAAATTTGAATATACTTGTACTATATGTCAATAATATCTGTGCACATTTACTATATCAGGAAAACCTAAAATCACCATTTTTCAAATATAATGTTGGAAGGAAAGAACAAGCTTAAAAGTCTCGCTAGCGTTCTTTATTAAACATGTGACATTTTACATGTGACACTCAGCAGTCCATTGTCTTTTTCAGCATTCCTGTGTGTGATTTTTGCCGTGCGGACTGAAACCTAGAAGAATCTTGCGCAAAATCTCAGCCCGTTCCCCTGTGCCTAGTTTAGTGAATTTATTCCACAAAAGAAGATCGAGAGCTAGCTCTATTGACCATGGAAATCACTGACACCACACCTCAGTTAGAAAGAGAAGCCAACGCACGACGACTCTCCCCTGTCCGCAATATCATCGCAGGAGGAATCGGGGGGATGCTTGCAGTAGTAGYWGGTCAYCCCTTRGATACAATCAAAGTACGACTACAGGTCGCCACAAGTGCTGGACAAACGCAAGCTTACAATGGCGCTATGGATTGTCTGAAGAAAATTGTGAAGGAAGGTGGATTTAGGAGTTTATTTAGAGGAATGCTGACACCGTTGCTAATAGCAACTCCATCAACGGCTTTGTCCTTCTTTAGCATCTCTCTTGGGAAAAGACTTCAGATCAGTGATCCAGGACAAGAGCCAACAATGGTGCAGTACATGCTCGCGGGCGCATTTTCTGGATTTATTTGCAGTTTTGTGTACAGTCCTGTAGATAGAATCAAATGTCTCCTTCAGATAAAGAAGAGCGATGCCAAAGGAGCGTCAAGAGGGCCTTTACAAGTGTTGTTCGAAATCTACCGCAGCGAAGGAGCCCGAGGGATCTTTAGAGGGCTTCCTGTAACAATGACTCGCGATATCTTTGGATGCGGGGTCTGGTACCTAGCTTACGAAGGCCTCTTAAAGTTCATTAGACCACATGACAGCACACGTGATGACGTCTCCATGACAGCAATTGTACTATCGGGGGGTTTTGCCGGGATCGCGTTTTGGGCGTTGTTATACCCGGTAGACAACATCAAGACTCGTTATCAAACTGCCCAGGTGGGCAGATATCGGGGATCACGTGACGTTCTCCGAGATGTTTTGAGGACCGAAGGTGTAAAAGCCCTATACAGGGGATATGCACCAACCATAGCTAGAGCTCCGTTGGTTCATATTTCGTTATTTATAGGATATGAATTTACAATCAAAACTCTGAATAGATTTTCTCCTTGACTTGCATTTGGTAGGCATAGGTCACGACAGAGTTAGTAGAGGGAACTAGTACTTATAACTCTGGTCACGAAAAGCTCCCRACTTTGCCTCATTTTTTACTTCTTCGGGCTTCCTATGTATAACGTTTACCTCACCATATCTCCTTCTATTAACTATGGCGTCACGCGCAAAAGTTCTTCAATTTAATTGGCATTTTCAAAGCCAGATGGGGAAAAAAATATACTAATTTTATCATCAGTTTTGTCTTTCTTTTTCTTCTTGGACACAAAGACGCACAATTCCTTGTAAGTATCTCAGTAACTCTTTTGCTAAATTTTACGTGACTAGGAGAGTATATGTTTTATTTATAATTCCAACGATGGCACGAGCCCATGCCTGTCGGAAATTGCTAATGACCTCTGCAGCAGGGACCTTCTTTATCTTCGAGAAGAGATTTCGATTTTCGATATTAAAAGACAAATTCTTAAAAGCGACTTTAATCGGTAAAATCAMGTGAACTAAAGATTAATTTGCATGTAGACGTTAACATTCACAATATACTTAGATATATCTAGCACTAATTAATTGCATCTAATTTGACATCAACATTTCATTTTGATCGATATTGAGCAGTGTACAGAAACGAGTTACAAGAACTCCCAATGCTCAGTAATATACTGGTGACCTTGCACTAGGAAAAAAGGATTTTTTCAATGTTTAGGCTTTGTTGAGATTGATGTTTGTATTAAGTCTACAAACCGTTTAACCACCTGTCGGTATTATTTGATGTCAGGTCAATGGTTCACGGGCTGTCAACTATCGCCTTACGGACACTCCAATACAACGAACATCTCGATATTGCTGACAGTGAAATACTGAATTCCCGGCCGAAAAATACAAAGAAATGACTGACTCTCGTTACTACGGAGTCTCACTACTGCGGACACTTAATTACGGCCCTGAGGGTGTCCGTAATAGCGAGAGTAGACTAAAAGAGCAAAGCATCGTAACACTCTAATGGTTATTTTGAACAGCATTTGAGCATATCAAACTAATATTACCATWCATTGGGTGACATTTGCKTACTCAGGGACGGACCATTTGATTTTTGTAGGGGGGATGGGTAGATTTTAAACGCGCTCGARATTTGTTTTTCGCCCTTCAGTACTGCAGGATATTTTTTTGTTGTACCAAGCTCTTGCACGATCTTTTTTTTACAGTGTGATTTGTCACTAATTTGTCACTGCGGACAGACCATTTGTAAGGGGGTGGGTTAAATCCCCCCCCCCCTAAAACAATGGAAAATGCATCGTTGCTGCTTTATAACACTATACGTTGCATTGTTATTACGTAACTACACATCTAAAGTTTAATTNCCGTGATGTATTTGGATATGGAGTCTGGTACCTAGCATATGAAGGCCTTTTAAAATTCATCAGGCCACGTGATTGCACACGTGACGACGTTTCTATGACAGCCATTATGTTATCAGGGGGGTTTTCCGGGATCACGTTTTGGGTTTTGTTTTATCCTGTTGATAATGTCAAAACTCGTTACCAAACTGCCCAGGTAGGGCGATATCGGGGGTCACGTGATGTCCTCCGAGATGTTTTGAGGACCGAAGGTGTAAAAGCCCTATACAGGGGATATGCACCAACCATAGCTAGAGCTCCGTTGGTTCATATTTCGTTATTTATCGGATATGAATTTACAATCAAAACTCTGAATAGATTTTCTCCTTGACGATTTGATATATGATGAAATGATGGAATGAGATGAGATGGGATATAAGTAATAAACGTCAGAACCTCTTACGTCACTACTTGATTTTCAATGCATTGTGGGATCAGTTTCAAGAGAAAACAAAAGAAATCCGCCATCTCCTGTCCCAAACATATCCTACAATGCATTGCGTATACGGTACATGACGTCAAATCTATTGATACCGCCCGAGGTCTTTATGTACGGACCAGGAAAACGCTGTATTTTAAAATCATGAACTCAATTAAATCTGAACGACGTTTTTTGAAACTCATCCAAACCGATAAAATTTTTATTTTTGAATTTTGATTTGTGTTTCCCTGCTAGCAGAGGCTTACACGGTAAATTCTGTCACGTACCGTGTAAGCCTCTGCTAGCAAGGAAGATTTGTGTCAACGTTTTAGAAACAGTTGTATAAAATGGTGGCCAAATATTACCAATTTTTTTTTATGCTGACTTGATTTTGGATCGGCCTATGCTATAAAATGCCTATCAAAGAATTAATAATACACCCACGCGACGATCAACCTGTTAGAGCAGACACTACAACGTCGACACCGTGACGTAAAGCTGTTATAGCATTGCGTGACTTGTTATTCTAAGTATCTTGATCTGTTATTACATGTGTTATTACACAATGTCAAGCACAAGAAACAGTCGATTGATAGAAGACGATTTGAAGTTCATTTCAAGGTAAGCATGGCCCAGGTATCTACAGAATGGTTATATAAAACATATCATACTAGTTTTCTAAGCTATTTTCGATTTTTAAGTATTGAAATACTAAGATACCATTCCCATATGTAGGAATTTTTGTTTTAATTTAATACTAGTACTACTGTTACGGTTCGCTGGATGCATGTYCCCGGACAGAATGTTAGTATTTTGACTTCAGTTTTACGCCTCGACTTTCATGAGAAACTTATGTTATGATTTCTTGGTGAGTCTATCAACGTTTTTTGGCAGCTTCTCTAGAAGATTTTGAGCTGTACTTCAGGCATTATATTATATTATGTCTAGTGCTCGGATCACAGGCCACCCAGGATAGCGTCCTTTGGTTATTKACTGGGGTCATTGGGTTATTAATTGGGGGTCGGGGGAATTTAAGATTTTTTTTGAACGTCCCCGAGCTGAGAATTGAACCCGCGATGCCAAGATTAACGCCGCTTGGCATTCAATACCAAAGTATGTTATCCTGGGTGGCCTGTGTCGGATGTCTTTAGGTTTGTAATCAAGACACCGACTGCGCGCTTTAGTTTCTCCACCCTCCCCCCCTACGCCTCCCCTGAGGAGGGGAGGACTCCGAAGTTTTTTCTCGTCGGTGGCTCAATGATCGTGAATCTATATTAGAAGATATCTGTTTTGTTGAGTTCCTTTTTGTACACTTACAAGAATGTAGTAATTTAATAAACAACAAATTGGATCCAAAAGATACCAAA